CTGTCATACTTTGGACACATCATGAAATGACATGAATAATTGGAAAAGACAATAATGTTAAGAAAGGTGGAAAGAAGTAAAAAGAGAGGAAGGCCACATGTTAGATGGATGGACTTTATTAAAGAGGCCACAAACATGAGTTAGTAGGAGCTGGCCCTGGAGATATCTCATCCATGGGTCATGATCGACAGGAAGGCAGTTAACAGCAACAACAAATAATGATTATGCATGCATAGGAGTCAAACATAGAGGAGCCATTCATGAATCACCAAAAACAGAGTGTGACCATTTACATACTATCTGTGTATGCTTATTTCTATAATTCAGACATGCAAATCCTCTGGCCCTTAAGATGTTGGATTCAATGCTCAGAAGTCCTGGCCAGCACAAGAAGTACTAGACTATGAATAAATTGAAGAAAATATTGACCTAAATAACACTCTTTTTGGAGAATATGTCTATAGATTTTTAACATACACATGTATTTTAGGTATGTGACAGATAATACAAAAATCACCCATTTTAATGTGTGGAAAGTGAGATGCAATAACTGGTACTTTATTACGTTTAATATAAAGAAGAAAAAGCCCTCACAGTTGACACAGATATCTAGTCCTCTACAAGTTTAAAGCCAACATCAAAAGGGATTGACACAGATCAGTTAAAACGTGGCTTCAGAGAAGTTTAAGACTGGATTTGGGCAAATCTGCAGAGAGGTAGATGTCCATAAATGTGGGGAAATTCCTAAGAATACTTGATTGTTCTGTTGTTATCTAAATCTGTGTAGGATACAGTTTTCTAAGTACCAAAGTACCAAATCAAATTAATCAGGACAAAACAAGTGAAGCAGTAATTTCCAATTTATTAGTTAACATTCTTGCAAGAAGGGGTGTCCTAGGTGAGTAGGCACACCCCTAGACTTGACACAGAATGGTTTTATTCCCTTTCCCTGGCAGTATTTTTCCATCTCCATAACATTATTGACTGATGTCATTAAACTATGTAACAAATCACAAATGCCTAAAATGAATACATTATCTCCGCCCCTGTTTGCATCTCCCCTCTGCTCAAATTCAGAAGCCCCTTACTCTTATTTACAGATCTTCTTTTAGGGTATATCTTTGGCATGATTTTCACCAAAAGCGAAACTTATAAAATTAACCCAAATGTGAACTGTGATTTCACACCAAGCCTCATTATTGACTGTCCATCCTTCCTTTAATGTTTGCATTATCTTTCTTCTACCTCATTCACTACAAAAAGCTTCTCTGCCAAAAGATAACTATAGTCTAGCTCAGGGGTAGGCAACCTATGGCTTGGGGGCCGGATACGGCCCCCCGAGGCCTTTGGACCGGTCCCAGGCCGGTCCTGCCACTGCCCGCCATGATGATATTGATTATTGTTGTTATTACTTGTTCTTGGGGTTTTCTTGGCAACTCCACAGGAGTTTTGCCATGGCTTTTCTGGGGCTGAGAGAGTGTGCATGTATATTTTTTAAATTTGTTTTAATTTATTTAATTTTTTATTTTTATTTTTATTTTTTTGCTTCGCCCCCCCAATTGTCTGAGGGACAGCAACCCGCCCCCGGCTCAAAAAGGTTGCTTACCCCTGATCTAGCTAATCAGTGTTCTACCTGCTCTAAGATGTTTGTAGATAACCTTTTTCACTCAGAAGGGCCCTGGAGCCTAAAACTCCTTACAGGGGATGTAAGTGTGATATGTATTTTGAAAACCATTCCTGTCTTTTATTTTATAGGGCCTTATCCAAACTCTTCACTTTATTTTCACTATCTTCACATATATACATATACATTTTTTATTTGTCGTTAAGTGACCCATGGCACTGACCCTCTGGATGAGACATCTCCAGGTCCCCTCTACTGTCCTCTACTGCTCTGCCCAGCTCCTACAAACTCATGTTCATGGTCTCCTTATTAAAGTTCATCCATCTAGCATGTGAATGTGTGTAGGTTATACATCATCCCCTACATATATCTATATATTTCTCTGTGTGTTGAATCCAAATTGTCAATTCTATCAAAGTCTCCTTTTTTGTTTTAAAATAATTTTGGATTCAACATATATTTTTTATTGATTTTAATCTATATGACTATCTGTGTTTATATAGTATCCCTCTTTTTATATGACTTTTGATTATCCTTATGTTTAATTCAAATTTTATTTCTCTCAATCTGGAATATAGATGGATAAACTGATGTAAATCTAATCCACTTTTGCCACTGAATTAGATATTTTGGCATTTGTTATTGTTAACTGCCTTCGCTAGCACATTAATGATTATAAAATGCATTAACCATTTCCTGCTAACCTTCTTAGTTCTGTGTTTGAAGAACAATAGCACCATTTGCTCTAGAGCAATGGTAGTGGTGCCAATTGCATTTTCGTCTTTTTACCTGGTGTGGCAGGAGCAAACAGAATCTGGCAGATGTTGGTTAGGACTAACTACTTGCTTTTTATCAGTGAAAATTGAAGCCTATTTTCAAACTGTGATCAGCCTTTTTTTTTATGTAAAGTACCATTGTAAAAACCATGTGACATTAAGTACTCAGTTGAATACCTGTTTTCCTTTTCCCTCTCCATACCTTTTCCCTTCTGTATTGTCTCCTCCAGCTCTGCCAAATATACTTGTGAGCCAGCTGGTATAGTAATTTGAGTTTTGCCACCCAGTCATGGAATCCCACTGGGTGACTTTGGATAAGTCACACTGTCTCAGCCTCAAAGGAGGGCAAAGGCAACCCCCCCCCCACTGAACAAATCTTGCTGCTTGGTGTTCTTTGACTTATTTTAAGTATGTTTTGAATTCTGTTATCGTTTAATTCTATTTTAAGGGGTGGGTGGGTTTGTGGGATTTGTATTGCATTTGTATTGTACTTTTAATGTTGTAAGCTGACCCAGTTGTGTCTGCAGAGGGGCGGGACAAAAATATATTATTATTATTATTATTATTATTATTATTATTATTATTAAGAAAATGCTTTAGGGTCACCATAACCTGGAAATGACTTGAGGGCACACAACAACAAACCTTGGGGGTAGAAGTCAGAGATGCAGCCTTGTTAGTTTGGAATACAGCAGACAAGTCTTTAGACAGAGGACTGCCCTCTGTAAAAGTCAAGAGGCATAGCCATATTAGTCTGGAATATCAGTATCCAAAGGGATCTTGTAGCACCTTTGAGACTAACTGTGTGAAAGAAATTGTAGCATAAGCTTTCATAGACTTGGATTTGAGGAAGCAGACCAAGGATGCACTTACACTGTAGAAATAATGCAGGTTGACTCCACTTCAAGTGCTGTAGGAATCCTAGGATTTTTAGTTTTACAAGGTCTTTAGACTTCTCTGCCAGTGATGTGCCTCACAAAACTACAAATCCCAGGATTCTGTAGAATAGACCCATGGCACTAAAAGTGCTGTCAAACTGCTTTATTTCTATAGTGTAGACCAGGGGCCGGCAACCTATGGCCCCTGGGCCAGTTAAAGCCCAGGTCGCCGGACTTACTGGCCCAGGCCGATTCCTGCTGCTGCCACCGCCGCCGTGCGCCGTGGCGCGTTTTCTCCTTCGTATGGCCGTGCGTGCCGCGGCTGCTATTTTGAAAATCAAAATGGCGGCTGCGACATGTGTCACGGCGGCTGAGCCCGTGCGTGCGGGGGGGGGGTCACGCGCAGGGGCGGAGGGCGCACGCGCGTGCATGAGTGCGCGTGCCGCCATTCCCCCCCCCTCGGCCCAGCCGAAACCTGGGCTTCGGGGGACCGGCCCAGGTCCCGAAAAGGTTGCCTACCCCTGGTGTAGACACACTCATACTCTACTACTACTAGTCTACTAAAGTCTACTAAAGCTTAGGCTACAACTTCTTTCACTGAGGGGGCAAAGTAGACCAGCGGCTTGGAGCAGCCTTTGGATGCTCCAGCCCCAATTGTCCCCAATTAGCCGAGGACTGCAGCAACCGGATGGCATGCTCTGAAAGCAAGCCACAGTGGTGGTCCCAAATGACCCACTGGCAGGAGCAGTTTCTCCTTGCTCCTTTTGCCAGCGGCTTCAGGCCACTTTAGATGGACTTGGAGCAGCTTCCGGCTGATCCAGGGGCATACATCATCTGCATGCCATGCCCCCAAAGTGGTGGGAAGCGCACCTTTTGGCCCGTGTGTTTCGGGCCTTAGTCTCAAAGGTGCTACAAGAATCCCTTGCATGCTTATAACAACCCTTGTGAGGAAATGAATTGTCTAATTTTTATTCATCTTTGAGCTGCTCTACAAATGGAGCCTCTACATCTGACAAGTGCCCTATAAATGTCTTAAATAATAAATATCTTGTAGTAAGAGAACTGCGAATTTGGAGTCACTTATAATCCTGGGGAAAACTCTTTTAACAATTCCTTTGAGATATTGTGGTGCTGGAGAAGAGTGTTGAGCATCCCGTGGACAGCCAGAGACAAACAAATGGGTCCTATAGGAGATCAAGCCAGAAACCTCCCTGGAAGCCAAGATGACCAAACTGAGATTGTCGTACTTTGGACACATCATGAGAAGACTCATTATAAAAGACAATAATGCTGGAAAGATGGAGGGAAATAGGAAGAGAGGAAGGCCACATGCAAGATGGATGGACTCTATTAAGGAGGTCAGGATTTAAGCAGAGCAGTGAAGGAAAGGGGATCTTGGAGCTTTTCTCATCCATAGGGTCACCATGGGTTGAGATTGACTCAGGGCAGTTAACAACAACAAAAGCCCTGTACTTGTGTGTTTTAAGAATAGTGGAATTACTTCAGACTTACTTCCTACTCTACTGAAAGAATAGCTACTCCAATATGTACTACCTATTTAACATTGTTGTTGTGTGCCTCCAAGTCACTTTTTACTTACAACGACCCTAAGCTGAACCTATCATGGGGTTTTCTGGGCATGTTTCTTCAGAAGGGGTTTGCCTTTGCCATCCTCTCAGGCTGCGAGAGCATGACTAGCCCAAAGTTACCATTGGGTTTACATGGCCATGCTAGGATTCGAATCCTAGTCTCCAGAGTCCCAGTCCAGTGCTCAAACCACTGGGCCACAGCTTCAGACTTACTTTCAACCCACACTGAAAGAGCAGCTACTCCAACCTGTACTACCTACATGCTTCATACCACTGTGTGGTTCAGCCATTTAACGCCTCAAGGGAACCTGGTTTGGCCTCCAACATGGAGGATAAAAGGGACCATCCTGAGGGAGAAGAACGAAAAACAACGGGCTTGGAGAGTCCTATCCAGGTACACCCTTAAAACATATAGCCTTGGCTGTTTCTTTTTCAGTCAGTCAGGGGAAATAAACTAGACTTTACTAGTCTCCATAACTAACCATTGTTGCTATGGTTACAATTCCTTTAAAAAAATCATTCCCTACGTCCCGCCCCTAAAGAGGCCTGAATCGTTGAGGGTTTCCAGCCTCGCTTTATTTCTGCCCTCGAATATCATTGGACGCATGGCGCAACCAAGAGGGACTTTGATTGGACCGTTCCTTTTTTCAATCTCCTGGCAGTCCCGCCTCCTCTAGTCTTTCAGTAGGGGCTCGCTAGTTGGCCGGATTCCAACCAGCCCGACCAATGGCGGCTGGGGTCGGAAGACACCGATTGGCTGAGAGGAGGGGGAGAGAGAGACGAAATCTATAAGACCCGCCTCCTAGCAAGGCTCACAGCCTTATCTCGACTTTCTTTCCCCCACCGCCTAAAATTACCCGCCATTCACTGGGGTGAGTGGGCGGGGTTAAGAGAAGAGCGAGGGAGCGGCAGTAGCAGCAGCAAAGGGCAAGTTGTAACCGAGCGCGAGGCCTGCTGCGCGCGCTGCTTCGCTCTCACCCCCCCTTCCTCCTCCTCCGTCCGCGCGGGCTCGTCGCGGCGCGTGAGCTTCCCAGCCGTCCCTCAGCGCGCGAGGCCTCCTCATCCTTCTGCGCGTGCGCGCCCCTGCTTGCTTGCTTGCTACCAACCCACCCTCGTTGGGTTGCTGCAGTAGCGTCGTCGTCATCGTCGTCGAGCTCTAACTGCAAGGCAGTAACAAACAGCCACAATAACAATGTCGGCTTCGGCTACCGCTCCTGCTCCGGCGGAAACGGGGGGTGGCGGAGGGGGTGTGGGGGATAGGCCACGCGCCTCTGCTTCTTCTGCCGCCGCATCTGCCGCCGCCGCCGCCTCCTCCTCCTCATCGGCTGCCGCCGCCACCGCCACCTCCGCCGCCGCCAGCACTCCGCTCAACGTGGAAGGCCTCGACTTGCTGGAGAAATGCGCCGTGTGCCGGGAGCGGCTGCGCTCGGAGCGGGATCCGCGGCTCCTTCCTTGCCTCCACACCGTCTGCAAGGAATGCATTAAAGTGGAGCCCGCCTCCGGGAACAGCAAGGATGGCCAAGGTGAGAGGA